CACTTGCAGAAAATAAAGAGGTACACAGACATCACTATTGACATTTTGTTTAGCTCTGTGATCTGGTTGTCAAACTGAACGAGGAGATTGAGAGACTAGGTAAAATTGCAGAACAAGCCGAAAATTTCGCGAAGGCCATTCAGGTATTTTTTGCGAATGTTAATTTTGCTGTCACTATTGAAATTGTGTTTTGCCCTCTGAGAACTCTCTAGTTGACGGACTGGCTGAGTGACATGTTTCTTGCGTTATTAACGTAGACGTCCACAAAACCAGCCGAGTGGTCCTGAGAACTTTTTTGTTTTGTGAAAATAGGATTAGACGAATAGTCAGTGTTGTGAGGCCAGAGATACGAAGTGAATCTTTTCCTCTGGAAGCTGACCAAAGTCGGCTTCCGGTTTTGCACCGTTATTCAAACATAGGACCTGTTTCGCATTAAGTCACGAGCATTGGTCAACGGCATGTGACTTTGTACGTATCAACTCAGCAGTTGAGAATAACCCGTCATTTAAATAATTGTGCTGTGCGATGTGAAAATCGCAACATGAAATCCGCGCGATTGACGGTCTCGCCAGCTGCTCTGCCGTCACTTATCTATCAGTGCCGATCAGTTGAGTGTCCACCGTTGATGCCACAGCAAGTTGCTGATCAGGAGTCAATTTTTATTAATTCAAATTTTTGGTTCATGCGTAACACTCTTTAGAGGTCACATGCTTCTTGTCATTAGATGCCATTAATATAATAAGATCCAGATGAACCCTACCGCATAATTGATGGACTAATTTGCCAACAAAAGAAAAGCGCGTCGATGTGTTCATTTCCCCGTCTGCTAGCTGACTTTAATACAGGGGTTTGAGAAGTTTTCTGAAAATGTTCACGTATCGTGGTTACATTGCACTACCAACTGAATGGCAGTGTTCCTGCCGATCCGATTTTGAGTGACTTAACTACTTTATCGGAATGACACGGACGCTTTTCAAGGTAATGGTATTCTTGGACACTACGCAGTCTTCTCCACTCAGCAAGTTCCTTTTTCAAAACGTGTATGCCTGCGCAGATTGCCAGAAACCAGTTGCGCACTGCACGAAGTGCAAAATTACTGCAACATGTGCGTACACAAAGTCTGTCTTTCTCGTCCTGCCAAACGTGGAAGCCTTGCAAGGAGAATTGCTACGCCATGACCTACGTTGACGCAATTGGCGGGTCTATGAATAAGTCATCCGTTTGGATGATTTCGCCGGGACAGCCTGTCTTCACAGTAAACCGAACCCGTGAGCTGACTTGCTTTGCATAACACGATCGCGAGTTGTGGAATGTACCCCAACTAACAGTG